AATACTATTGCAATTGGCACAAATTGAGGGCTCAGTCGTCAAATGGGATGAAGCAAGTATTATTAAACCAGTACATTCACTGGCATTGGCGATTTGCACCGAAAAAATTGAAATACAGGTAACCCCCGTATAACACGGCACTTCTATAGCATGGATTCGCTCTAACACGGTACTTTTATAGCATGGATTCACTCTGACACGGTTCAAGAAATGGGTAAAACCCTCGTACAACATGAAATGTAATAAATTTTTACATACTTAAGTACTAATAGTTCACAAAAATTATTATTTTCGTAAACTATTAGTACTTCAGTGTGTAAATTTTCTTTTCTCATCTTCATGCACATGGTCCTTCGCGAAAATTGTTTCAATTTTGCCAGATCTCGACGCTTCTGCTTCTGGTGTTGCCAGATGTTTTTCCCTTATTCCATAAGTGCTTAGCACCATATAAGGAAATTTATAAAGATATTTTAACTAGAAGCAAGCAATCTAAAATTACATACATTTTGCAAAAGGTAAAGCATGAATCTGAAAATAATGCAGAAAAATGCTCAGAGGATAAGGATAACTTGCCAAAAATAAAACGCTGTCGGTTAATAGTGCTTTTAGTGATGACAAAGAAAACATTGTTTAATTTATAATAATATGTATCACTTAAGAAAACTTTAATAAAGATATTTACCTTAATTATGAAAATATAGTAGAATGTTTTTTAATTTTTGGAACCTAACCCTCCTTTTCGTACTAGTTCTTTGTTTCACATAACACAGATTCGCATAACACGGCAATTTTTTGGAACGTAACTACTGTGTTATACGGGGGTTACCTGTATATAAGAGCGGGTTACAGGATGCATGCATTAATTTTAGAGATTCGGAAGGGTTGCCTTCGGCCTGGAAATACTTAAACGATTAGAGAGCTCTTAATTTAATGCCTTGATTTTAGTACTGTATATTTGCATATTCTTGCATTTTATTGAATTTCATATAATGTATTATTATATAACGTTTTAATATTTAATTATCCTATGCATATATTTATATACATATTTTGTTATTTATAAGAATAATTTTTATTTTATTTTTCTTTATATATATATATGTCATTTGTTATTTTTATTTGTATTTAAATTTTTGTTCTATTTTATTTATATTCGAATATCTTAGCCTGATGATGGCCAGCAGATTTGGCTGAAAATGTTTGCTTTTTTCATTAAATTTTCTCAGCAAATTAATTAATTTAAGGTGTTGAGTTTTTTGATTTACATACAGTACTGCTGAGTGAGTGTACCTCAATCAAAATTGTATACTTAGAAAATTTCATTATAATAATTAATCTTTTCAAAAATTCAAAAAATATTTAGGGATTGTAATATACAGAAAGTGAAAAATTGTACTTGAAAAGATGATAATGAATAAAAAAATTTAAAAAGGAAAACAGTATATAAGTTGGAATGTTCATTTGATATACCAAAGATATATGTGAGAGAAATGGGGCAGTTGTTATCTATGAAAGTAGCAGAATATATTAGACAATAAAATACAAATATGAAAATTATGTAATGCCAAAACATTGTAATTTAGTAGTATGTGAAATAAATTTAGATAAAATCAAAAATTTTAAATGAGAGAAAAATAAATATAAAAGAAAGTTAAAGGGATATTTCGAAATAAAAAAAATCCAGAAAAAGATTAAATTGTTAATAGGTAAATAACCATATGAGTATTCTGGTCTTATTGTTATAATTATCAGACTTATCACACGCCTTTCCAAATTTTTAATTAACACTTAATATTTTTGAATATGCATTTCAGCTTTTTTAATAGACACCTCTTTAGCTAAGTTACATATACACACAAAAGAATCTAATAAAATGAAATACAATATACAGATAGACATTACAATATAGTAATATAAATGTCAGTTTAATTTGTTTTTAAGCTCAGAAATTATTGAATGTGCAGTATTACATAAGCAAACAACGAAATTGAGAATTCGTCAGTACCAGGCCTGGGCTTATAATGGGCAAAACCACAAACAAATTTATTCAAACATACAAATCAGTCGATGTATGTAAAAACTCAAAATAAATCTTTGATTATGCATCAAAAAAGAATTAAAATTATTATTATATGAGTANTTACATAACCGTTAATTGGAATTCCCGTTGCGTAATTTTTCGAATTTCATATTTCGAATTTATAGAATTAACTGAGGATGAACGCTTAATGCGTTTGAAAACGTTTTTAAGTTATTAAAGAATTTTGCTGGATAGATAAATGGTTTTTATTTTTATTGAATTTCCTTTGTTGCCAGACTAATTTATTAACACCTACACACAATTTCAAGGGTGGGAGAAGTGCCCAGGATGGGTTCGAACGAGAGTTTAGACTAATTCATTATATTAGGAGGCGGAAACGTTGTTGAGATGGGTTCTTACAATAGTTTAGACCAGATACATTCACGAAAGTGGTTGCTTATTACAGGCATTGTATGTTGTTTCGGACCAAAAATCGATGCCTGTGGTCGCGTTACACAGGTGGTCGTTTAATACAGGTAACTTATACGAAGACTCTGTGGATAAACTATTCTGTGCCAGAAATTTTTGCCTGTTTTGACAGGTGCCCGTCGAATGCAGGTGGTCACCTAAGCAGTGTTCACTGTATATATTAAAAAACATTATCAACGTAATGAAAAAGATGGTATTATTTAGATTTTTCAGAAGAATTTATAAACAAAGTAAGATCATTTCTGCAAAGTTTAACCAGGTAGATTACAAAAATATTTTTAAAAATTAGTAAAACTTAAAACGATTTTTAACACCCGTTCCGATTGGTCCTTATGAATCAGCCACCGACATATAATCGTACTCAATATGAATGCTTCTATTACTAGTCAGTCCGATTATAGGATCGGTTGGGTTGAACCAATCGGTTCAGTCAATCTTAGTGTGAAACAGCCCTTAAGCTTTGCTTGCCATCTGAATGCGCATGCGCGACATGACATTTAAATATTTCTCATGCATTAGATTCAAATGATTCATTGCTTTAACATTCCATCAGACATTCTTTTACATCTGAAGAAGAACTCTGGAGTTTGAAAACGTTGGTTGTGAATTGTTTGTTTTTCATCGCACACTGGTCATCGGTTCATAGAGTACGTTATTGAATATCCTCATCTCACAGTCACTGTACAAAGGGTTGTTGATCAAAAAAGAACAATTATACATAACAACCTTATACCACAAACAACACCAGAACATATCAGACAATAAATTGCAGAACAATTACACCAACAAATAAATACTCCAAACATCAACAATGATCACATAAATCCTTCAGGATCATCAAGATACATACATTAACAATACTGTTCCTACCACCACTATTTTCACTGATGTTGACTTCTTCATTACCTGAAATAGATTTGGGTTTAATTCATATTCTCTATCGTCCTTTCCAGGAAGCACTCATTAAATTTACCCTGCACAATGGCTATGCATTCCCAAAAACAACACTTCTAAACTAGTGGGAAAGCACTACACTATGTGAACACTTACATATTACCAGATTGCACTCATTCTATTTCTACACTCTCAGATATCCACATACTAGTCTATGCTGGTGCAGTCACATTAGCAACCTACCAAAGAGTTTTGAAGAAAAATGTAGCAAATACTTCAAATGTTTCTAGTAACAAGGAGATCAAAAGGACAGCTACCAACAAAGATATAAATCCAGGCACTAGCACTATTTAAAATATTGATAGAAAAAAGTTTAATCCTTCACATTAATTGTCAATCTAAATTAAGTAATAATACAGTAGAGCGTTGATCATCCAAAAGAATTCCAGTCAGCAAATTTAAATTTTTGCCAGTGCTGTGGCGCTGCAATCTTTGGCTATGTCTTGGGCTACTCAAATATTTTACGTTTTTGATACTAAATTAACTTCTGAAGTATAATTTTTTATTGTTTTTATATTTTTCAATATATTTATTTTGTTCGTATAAAATAAAAAAATAATTTTTAACGATACAATAATCTTCATTAGACTTAACATCAACGAAAATTCAACGCGAAGCGACACACAATGGAGAAAAATGTCAAGATGGGATAAATTAATATATTTTTTCATACATAATCGGTTATCCGAAACATTGATCTTCCGAACAACCCCAGTCTCCAATTGATTCAGATAATCGACGCTCTACTGTATTTGCTTTTCATTATTAATCTGTTTTTTTTTTTTTCTTTCTTCAATAAATTGTTTTTTTTTTTTTTATTGCTAGCACTTTCAACGAACTTATTGTCGTCATCCTCAGGCGAATACAGATATTTACGAAAAAATTTTAAACAAAAATAATCGAATGCAGAACATAACACATAAGATAAGCTTGGCGTGTTAGTCATCCTATTGATTACTAAATTGTTTTTGGTGTTTCTATTTGCTGATTTATCTGTAATCATTAAAAGTTGTCAGGGTTCCAACATTTTTTACTGAGGTGAAAAGGGTTCCATGATAAAAGTAAGTTGGGAACTGCTGCAGTAGAGTATCTGTAGTCTGGCAGACTCAGAGTAAAATAAGACTTATAATGGTAATAGAAACTATTTTATAAGACAATTATTTTTATTATTATTTATATAATATTTTCAGCAATAAAAGAAATCTATAATTATTTGATACAAAATTGTCTTATGTTTAAGTTAATTATATTATTACAGCTATAAGATTGAAAGCTTTAAATCGTCTAACAAGAATATTTTCTTAAACAAATACCAAATGAATTGTCTTTAAATATTAAAAAAAATCACCTTTTAGTTATTATTTAGAGTTTGTTCTTTGTAGCCGATGATATAACTCAAATATTTATTTTCAAAATGTGATTTAGTGCTTTTATTTAGATTTTATCCAAACTTCAAAAATATATGAAGAAATCAATATTAATGCTTCTTTCTGGAAAAGTTAATCACGAAATACAATAATTTTTATTTAAATTTTAGGGAAAGGTAAAGACGGTGATCATGAAAGAAGGCATACAAAGGGTTGTAACTGCAAACGCTCAGGTTGTTTAAAGAATTATTGTGAATGTTATGAGGTAAGTTTTAATTATTTTGGTTAATATATTCCTGTAGTTTTTTCAAATAGTTGATAACAATTACTAGAAAATACTAAATATTTTTTCAAAAAATTTGAGCTTTTCATTTTCTTGAAAAATACACTTCTTAAGTACAAGAATATTGAAATATATCCTATAAATCTTTTGTCCCAAATAGTTAATGTTAAATGTGAAAAAAACTCAAAGTTTTTTACAAAATAACAGACTGCTTTGTTGGAGTTCAACCTGTGACAAGTACTACTAGATTAGATGTCTAAGGAATCAATTGCTCAAAAATTTCCTGCATTAAACCAAAGATGAAGATATATATATATATATATACTTCACCAAAATAATGCATGTCTTCATACAGCACTTATCATCCTGATTTTGCTCCTGATTTTCACTTATTCTGTTCTCTGCAAGTAAAAACTTTCCAGGACTGAGATGATATAAAAAATCACCTTAAAGGATTTTTCCAGTGGACAAGATCCTGATTTTAACTACAGTGGGATTCACAGATTAGAAAAAGATTGCAAAATATACTTGATAACGGTAAATGCACCATTTCAGGAATAAAATAATCTATATATTAATTGAAAGAGGGTCTTCAGTTTTCTAACTTAATTCAAGTAGATGGCTGGGACTAAAAAATATGCTTTGGGTATCAAATTAAAATTCTTACCTTGTAAATGATACTGTTGAAGAGAGATTAGAAAAAGGTACAGTGGTTCAAATGTGGTAAAGGTACAATGTTAAGTCTAAGAGACAAATATGTTGAGCAATTGTAAAACCTTCTGCAACTTGCAATTTGGAAACTACAGATACAGAATATACAGGAATAAGTAAATTCATTGCAAATCCATCTGCTAAACAGAATAACTAAAATTCTCAAATCTCAACAAAAACATAAAGGAATTACTAACAAAGAGTAAATTAGCATGGCATGTATGGGATATTCTATCACTATAAAGACATTAACTCTCTGTCAGTAGCTTGAAGGTTCTGTTTTGCAAATCTTCTACTTCAATAACACAAAAATTTGCGATGGCTATGGCATGAACTATTTACATTATTTGATTTAATAGATATGGTTTCATTGTTTAATGATATTTTGTATTTAATTAATTTTAATGTTACACTATGCATTTATTGATTTATTTTTATATATTCCTTTATTTTATTTTATTTTATTTATTTGTGATCATTTTTTTAATATTTTAAAATTTATATGTTTGTTTTATGATATCTTAATGTTCAGATGGTAAAATTTGAATTTGTATTCTAGAATATTATTATTCAAATTACCATCGTGGCATTCCACTACATATTCTGCTTGAAGAAGATTGTTAAAAATGTCCAAAAACATTTTAGTTTGTATTTTTTATGAAATTGTGTCCTTTTCGTATTGTTGACTTGTTAAACACTGACTTTATAGTGTATTTTGAAGACACAATACACTATACACTTCAAAATACACTATAAATTCAGTGTTTAACAAGTCAACAACATCTTAGTTATTAAGTGTTTGCTGTTTCTTCAAGGTTATTTGAGTGTGTTTATTACCTTTTACAGCAGCGCTGATTTAGGTGCAATTGCTCGGGTATGGTTTAGTGGCAAAGATGAAATGTTAGGTCAACAGGAAGACATTGACAAACATGTCAGGCACTTGGAAGTCATTGTGATTTAGATTTCCTTAACTGCTCAAACATTCTGTTGCTTACCATTACTGTGAATTCCTGCTTTGTTTGCTAATTATGCCTTAATTGAAAGACATTTTTTATTATTTTTCAATAAATTAGTTTTGTCAATATTGACTACACCTCCATTCGTCAACTTTTAGCACTGATCTGTTTTTATTTACTATTACTTCATGATGAGACCAAAATGTGATTCTGACTGTCCAGTTTGTTATTTAATGCAATTGATGGCTTTCTTGACAAATCTACCAACTAAATGAAGAATAAACTTGAGCATAGGTTAAGAGTTTTATAATAGCCAATGAGATTGCTATTAGATGGGCCAATACTACTCTCATCATTAATCCAAAATCTTGCCAATTGAAGTTGATTAGCCTTAGGAATGCTAAATTGACCACTTGGGATCTTGGAATCTGAATGCAAAATTGAAAGAAGCCATTGAGAGAGAGAGAGGACCATGGGATGTGGCTCATGGTACCAGAGAACAGATAGATGCAAATCACCTGCAAACAGCTCGGAAAGCACTTGCTATGCTGATGATTTTTGTGTAGAACACCAAATTGTAAATAAGTTCACTGTATTTTAATTGAATAAAATCATTGATTTCAACAGGTTTCTGCTAGTTATTTTGAAATATAAAAATATGAAAAAATCTTGAAATGTCAGTAAAGTTTTAGTTATTTGTCGAAACCGTGTCTTCTTTTTCTTGTTTCTTCTGATTCTATGTCANGACTGCTCGGCCATTTGGCCAAATTTAAATATAGTTACTAGAAGTCTAAAACTTCTGCACGCATAATCATTTTTAAAGAAAAGTATTCTTAATATGCTTACTATGTGGCACGCAGACTCAAAAAGGTTCGCCATCCCTGGACTAGGGACTTGCATAAGAGTAACATAAGTAATCCTAAAGTAAGAAAGAACATGTACAGATGACTTAGCTCTATTGGATATTGAAGACGTGTACAATCATACATGAAAAAAGAAAAAAGGTCGACAGGTTGCGCGCTACACATCAGCATAAACAGATTAACATGGCAGAATTGCAGATGAGTTTCAGTGAGTGCGAGTTCTTTCGCTGTTAAAATAGTGTAAATTTGTAAAAATATTTGCAAGAACTTTGTTTCGTCATAATTTCACAATTTCTACAAAATTCCTGGACAAAATTAATAGTTCACCCGGACTGTCTGGGTGAAAACCGGACAGGTGGTAACACTAGACATATTAGAGGGCTTAATGTTAAAGTAAAGAAGCATCATTGTAATTAGATGTAAAATATTTTTCTACTTATGAAATATCTGTAAAACAGTCTACAGTATGAAATAATAATTGTTAATTGTAAGTAATTATGTTTATTATAGTGCTATTGAACAGAACTAAATATTAAATTAAATTTGAATTTTGTTTTAACATAGAGTATATTTAACATTATGGATAAGTGAATTGTTTTTAACAAGTTTTTTTAAAGTATACGATCTGGAAGTGTATGAATTTAAAAAATTGTTTGGAACTATTATTTTTTAATCTGCAAGTACTGATTATATTATTGTTTAAAATATAACTAATGTACGATACTTAATATATTTATGTCTTATGTAGAAACATCACTGAGGAGGGAAAGAAAGTAAACATCATATCAAAATATATATGTAAAAGTAAATTAAGCAAATAAAGTCATCTTCAATAAACCTCTGGATGTTAGATGTACTATTTTGAAATTCTCAAACTCTTCTGAAAGTTTACAGAGAAAAGAAAGTTTAACACACTAACTTTGGTCCAGGAATTTCAAGGATTTCTGCTCAAAGTTATGACTTCACCAATCTACTCAGTTACTGGACAATATCATGTGTCTGCTTTTTCATCATCCTCCTCTCTCTTCAAGCACCAGCTCAAAAGTGACCTTTCTTCAACTCATATGCCATCAGGTAATCTCTCACTCATTACACTGGTTATTCCAGGAATTAGCCCTCAACTCCAACAAGGAAGAATCGAGGAGATTAGAAAGTTCTAAAAAGTAGAAAGAACAAAGAACAAGGGTAAAATGTACAAAGAACAAAAAGACAAAAACAGACATATGGCATACAGCAAGAGTTTGCAGCCTCTCTGATCTCACAGTTTCTTGTTTTTCATATAAAGTGTGTATGAAAATACAGTGTATATTAGCCTTGAATTGAGATTCAAAATTTATTGATAAATTTATATTTTATCATATTTATTTTATAGCTAATCCCTTGGATGGAGAAAGTGTAAAAAAAATATATTTTTATAAATTCAAAAATTATTTATTAATTTTGCTACAGAGTGTTAAAAATTGTGCATGCATTTTTATAAAACTGAAATCTTTTAAATACTTTTTAAAATCCTTATATTTAATAATAGAAAATAAAATTATGAAATTATTTAAACAATAAATTTTACTGTAAATTAATCCAAAATACTTAGTAAAATGAAAACAAAAATATAAATAAAAATAATTCATACAAACATACCTATTCTAAGAAATTTCATTATCATCTTCTTTATCATTGAATAAACATGCTTTAAATAAAAATTTATCAAACGAAAATAAAAATGATTTTGAAGCACCTATAACTCAATTTACCATTTACAACATAGGCTTTCTTCAATCTCTCTGGATAGTTATCTTCAAATAATTTTACCAGTTGAGTTATCATATCAATAGCTAGAGAAAAAAGAAAAGAATATTAAAATTTTTTGTTTATATATATACATTAATTTAATTCAACAGAATTTACCAGGTTTCCAAGCAACTTGCTTCATAGTGAGATTTTCCAAATCAAATATAATGCTATGAGTTTCAACAACTTTTCCCAACTAGAAATAATGGAAATGATGATAATTACTGTACCTGTAATTTTATTGAAATAAATTGCAATATTTAATTTCTAATCTCTTTGTAAAAACTGTCATAAAACTGAAATATAACCAATAACCTATACTAAAGTGGTCCAACTTTTTTCAATTTGGGCCAAATTGTACCTTTGAGCTTAAGTCACAGGCTGGAGAAATAATGAATATGTGGAAATAAGACATTTTGAATTGTTAATTAAATAAAAGATGCAGCTATACATTTTAATGAACATGTTTGTTTATTTATATGTTCAAAATTTTTATATTAATTATAGGATTGACCATATAATTAATTTAAAAATTTGATTCCTCAATTAGGTATATTCGGGTGCTTATGGGGTTGTAGCATCCCCTTGACACCAAAGCAATCAGTTTTGTTACTTTAAAATTAAAATAAATATAATAATGTATACTGCATAACTTCAATTTGGTCAGATTAGCTAACTAAGGTAATTGAGTAACATTCTCCAAAAAATAATAGGACAAGTTATGAGCCCCCAAATCTGCCTTGAGCAGTGCTATATTCTCAAAATCTTGGATATGTCACTGAGGTCAATAATTATGACCTTAGCTAAATGATTATATTGTACAGTTATCAGTTAGTGTGCCCATAACTCAAATACAAAATAAATTAGAAGAAACGAACTTTACAAGTTATAAAATTTCAACAATATTTTATCTAATAAGAACCAAAAACAACAATCATGTACAAAAAAACTTTCCCAACACTTGGAAACTTAAACTTAAATTACAATTATCTTAGAACTATCTCCACAAAAACCGACAAGTAGGAAAACTAGACTATTTACAAGATTCGCAAAAAACATCTTACACCTAATCGTCACACTAAAAGGAAAAGTTATCTCAAAATCTTTGCTCACCAATCACACTTGCCCAGGAACTTCATGTCATCTTTCTTCAGGTCTTTTATATTCCATGTGACATAACAAACAGCTGTACCACTCCCATTCATTTACATACTTATACTAACAAATGATTTTTTTTTTCTTTGCAATCTTTCGAACATTTGTCTTTACTAATCTTTTCAAAAAAATTATTTCTGATTTTTAGAAATCAGTCACAACTGGGATTAAGAGACCATTCTTTAATTCCTTGTGAGAATTCAGACACAAGTGTAAATTTTCACACGTTGGTATAGTTTATTTTTATCATTATTTCCTTTTTCTTTTCCCCTCTCGGGAAGTAAAGAGCAGACCTTTTGACACCTCAGTGTACTGCATCACCTCGAAGGTGACTTTAATTGTCTGAAGAAGGACTCCCCTCACACCAGAGGATCATTCAATTCTAATGTAAATACAGTAGAACCTCGATTATCCAGATTAATTGGGGATGAAGGTAGTCCGGATAAGGAAAAATTTGGATAATCGAAACAAATACTTTAATTTGTCTTTTAATGATAATATAACATGTTTTCTTTTCGATGACATATCGGCAATATTAAAAGTAAATACTGTATTTAAATCGTGATCAAATTTTCAAGAAACAAACATTCATATTGAATTTGGACTACTAATGACCAACCCTAACAGACTAGCTATTGTTTAAAAGGCCCTCTGGTGGCGCAAGAAGACGGATTTTATAAAATAAAAAGCAGTTGAAACTGCATTTTTATGAATAAAAATTTGACAAACTATTTATTGTTTTATGACGAGTAAAATATTTTTGTCGCGTTCACGGCTTTTAAGTAATGCATAAACCTTCGAAACTCGAGGCCCTTTGGACCACCAGGCATAGGCAGTGGCCCACATTGCCTGTGCCTTACGCCACCCTTGGTCATAGAGATGATGTAATTTGAAAATAAAATTTTTTATAAATACGTATGTCAAGTTATATTTTTATTACGACGCAAAATATATTTAAGAGTTTACGGCCACTGTGCCGGGTGAGATGTTGTTGAAACAAAAAAAATTATGCATTCCATCATGTACATAAACAGAATCATAATTCACCAAGTGCAAATCAGCAAATTCATAAAATTTTTGTTTATTTTGAACAATCCGGATAATCGAGGTTCTACTGTATAAGGTGCAGATAAGTAGCCAATTAATGTCGACAACCAATATAAGGTTCAGATAAGTAGTCAATTAACATTGACAACCACCTGTTACTGTCTAGAGAGTAACCAGGAGGTCACCGGCGAGGGTAAGAAGAAACCCTGTAATCCCCTCTAAGTCTGAGCGAACTGATGAGAAGTCAATCTAAATGACCAAATAAGGCAATGAATTTTACTAAGGTGGTGAGACGTATTCTGACATGAGTCACCTCACATCAATAAATCAGGGAGTTTGACAAATTTATGATGGGAAGATGTCAAATAGTGGAAGGAAAGGATGACGATAACATAAACACAGCTGTACACAAGTCAAGCTGGCGATTGCATAAGATTTTCTTTCCCCCATGATTCCTCCTCTGAGATAAGTATAAAAAGCAGTCAAACTTGCACCTCCGGGTGGACAGCCAAAGAGGACCCCGCCTAATAAACGCCTAATAAACTCAGCGGACATCTCCATGCAGACCTCTACTGTCGGAGATCAACAGAGCGTACCTCCACATCGGGCATAGCCAAGCGGACATCAAGGAACACCAGCTTCATACCGCCATACTGTCCATTGCTCCATACCACCATCCAAGGAAAACTACGATGAGGAACCTCTGATCCCAGTGCGTCCTACCAATGCCCTGTGTGAAGAGATCTAATCCCACAAGGTATACCCTTAACCGAATTTTGTCTCTGTCCAACACGTCTCCCTTAGTGAGGTATCTCTCTCGTTATCTAGTTTAGGATAGAATGTAGATCTAGAATAGATTCCTTTTATTATTATATGTGTGTCATTTATGCTTTTGACTTCAGTGTGTATAATCTCTTAGTAGTTTAATAAATGTGTTGTTTGTGTTCACCTCGTCTCATCAATAACCTGTCTATGGATTTCACGACCTCCTCACTCATTTTTGCCCTCCTATAGCCATATTCTGACGTGAGCCGCTGATAAGTGGGGAGAAGGTTGACACTTCACCTCTCCGGTTCTCACATTCCTATTCGGAAATCATACAATCTGAGATGCCATACAGGTGTCAGTTTTGGTAAGACTATTATTTTTCAAATTTAGTTTTGGTTGGGTGAGGAGCTTTTGTCCTTTAACAAAATAAAATGTCTCCTAAATAAATATTAAAGAAAATAAAAGTGCAGTTTTGACTCGACTCCTTAGACTATAACCACTATGTATAACATTATTGTAAAGTACTATATTGTTTTTCCAACTTTTCCAATGATTATTGACACGACTGTGTGCCGGAAATAGCCATTCCCTAACGGGTACTTTACGTGGATTCGTGTTAGTGTGCCAGGCCTGGACTTTAAGCATGCACCGAATTAAATAATGACAAAGTTAGTCAATAACAATCCAATATTTAATAAAATTCTAATAATAACTATATACAAAATTTAGTAAAAAATCAAATAATTTATTCAACGAAAATCAATAAGAATCAACCTGACAAAATTCAAATCAATCTATTTTCTAACTTAATTCTATTCCCCTTTGGAATTTGACAAAAATCAAAGACTTAATTTATGTACAATAATTCTTATGAATTAAAGATCCTAATCGTCACCTCATTATACTAGGAACCTATTTCCTCAACTCTCAAGACTTTCTCTATTCATCGATCCACAAATCGAATAACTTCAAAATCGCCGTGGAACTATTTTTATCCTATCGGACACCTCTCTCTCGTTTGCTGCTACGAAGCTTACCATGCTCATTGCTAACAGAAGCTCACCTCGTCCATCTTCACTTGAGATTCGGACTTTATACTGTGAGGTGACGTCACAACTCTGAATGCAATCACTCCCCTCATTTACATACTTATTCACTAACAAACTTTTTTCTGTTTGTCTGGCAGCCTATTTTCCGACAATACTCGCTAACCTTTTACATTATTCTTTTTGACAATTTTCGGGATGTTTTTATTCTTTAAGGTTTAGCAAGTCCCTAAGTTGTGCTTGTGGGGTCTTCCCCCTTTTCTCGGTGTTGACTTACTTTTTCCACTCAGGAGCACAAGTGTGCGTGAGTTTTTTTATGGCACTTTTCTCTTGTTGGTGAGTTGGTTTTTCTTCTAATTTTAAGTTTCTAAGGTGAATGGTGAGGAAACCTTCGTTTTAACAAAACATAAGCCCCAAACAAAAATATAATAAAAAGCAAACTAAAAGTAAATAAAAATAATGCTCGGACTTGGTTCCTTACATTATAACAATAATTATAAAGAACTTAATAAAACTGATGTTAATTTACCAAACACTGTAACCATACTTAAAATTAATTCCTTACCTCACATATACTGTTGTGTGATATTCAGTTCTTGATGGTGTTTTCAATTTGGTACTCTTTTATCTTCTTTTTCAAGTCCAATACACCATGAAACTGAAACCATCATAATTTAGATAATACTGTCTTTTGACTTCCCTTCTACGTCAGTCAAGTGTACTTTACTTTTTGTTTTAAACTATTATGGGAGTAATACAATCAATATCACAATGTTAACTATAAAATAAGGTTTAAAACATTAAGGTACATTGACTAAAATGGTTGGCAAGTTCATTTGTAACATCAAACCACACTATTCACAAAGCATGATTTGTCGTATCAAGTGACCTATCTATAGTTATCAGAAAATACGTTTCAAATTTCTGTTTGTAACTTTGAGGTGGTCACAAACCCTTTCAAGAAACTCATCATTAATGGAAATATCATTTTCCACTAAAAAGGATTTCAATGTTGGAAAAGGTACAAATTGTCTTTTACATTCTAATTCATAATACCAGTTTTTTTTTTTGAATGCCTTTATTATATAGGCAACAAGAAGAATTAAAGAATTTTCCTGAAGGGAGAGATTTAGTTCATTTAATTTAGAAAATAAGTCTGAAAGATAGGATAGTACTAATAACCATGTTTCTTCAACAAGGAATGATGCAAAATCAGAATTACATTTTTACAAACCATAAAATTTTGTGCCTTAATTGAAATAACTTTGTTGGTACTTTGCCCCTGGAAAGCCAGCAAGTTTCAGAATGACGAAAAAGTTTTGTATATTCACTGTCCATTCCATTGCAGAATACAGAAAATAACCTGTTGTTTTGCAGTTGAGCCTTAATAAAATTAATTGCCTGCAGACCACCTGTCTTATTATTGCAGACTACAGATTGAGAAATGCTGTAATATATGAATTATGTTAAATTCCAGATTTTTTAATATTATTTTATGGATGTTTCTCCTGTAGCATTTGTAATTTTTGTTTATTTAGACTTTGAAATCATATTTTAGAGATAACTGAAATACTGTGTATTATTATATGAAGGAAGATCAAAGCAAATTGAGACTGACTTTCCTTTTTTGAAAGTATAGCTCTGACAAATTCTGTATCAAAATAGTCATAAGCAACCCACTAGGGTTGCTCATGACTTTGCAGCCCAGGGCTTTGATATTGAAGAAAATAAAAGTGAAATTTTCCTCATTTTTTTTTCTTTGTGCCATTATGCATACTTAAGAACATTCAGATTATTTTCATCTTTTCACTGATCAAGTTAAACTATATCTTATCAGAAATTCCCATGTCAAGCATGGTTGGGAATTTCTAGTAATTGAGAAGAGTAAGAGATTAACAAGCTCATTAAATAATTACTTGCAGTTGGATAATAGAATGTCACATGGTCATTACAGAAAGGTTTTAAAAACATCTGTTGTAGAAGCAACACAATATGGCTATTTTTTTTTTTTTAAATTTAATAAAGTAAATTTATAATCATGCCATTTGCAAAAATATTTAAAAATACAACTTTTAGTAGGGTATGCCATGGGAATGCATATTAAGAAGGGATTTTTCGAAATTCCCCTGTGGGAGGGAGAGGGAGTGGATTAAGACGTAACCAGAAAAACAGCTTCTACTGTACTATTTTTAGATGCGATTTTTTGTTTTCAACTGTGTTTAGTCTTCGTCGAGCACTTAGGTGTATTAAATTGATAACATTTCAGACATTGTTATAAATGTTTTTATCTATTTCAATTTTAAAAATGTTTGAACCGTTTTAAATTTGAATTTGTTATTGCATAGTGGTTCTATTATAGAACAATTGTAAACGTTCCAGAAAATTGATCAGATTGAAAACAGTTTGTTTGATTCTCGATAATTCTCATCGTTCTCGGCGGTAGGTGTTATATAACAATTACTATGGTTGTTTAAATACCGAATATAAATGGGGTTTGCTTGCAAAATCCTTGTGGGTAACAGCTAGTAGCTAATATTTCCACAAATGAAGTAGCCTGTACTTTCCATCAGAACATAAAAAGAATATAACCAAAATTTCATTTGGATTGGATGAAAATAGCAGGAGTTACAGGAAATTCATACTTGCATGCACATGCAGTGGCTTTTATATTATTAATTATTATAGTTTGCATATTATTTTAGTACCGAATGTGTGGTACTAGTGGTTATGGCATATGTTTGGTACTCAATACACTTTAAACCTGCAACTCTAAGAAAAAGTGCATGTGGCTCACAACCAGAAGAGGTTGCTCCTCACTGCAGTAAAGAATAGTTTTTGATTCATCTGTCCAAAAACTTGCTCAAATATGACACTGTGTTTGACTGTTAATGTGTGTGCAAAACAAATGTTTTCAATTTTGTCACACGTTAGTAGCAGACAGCTGATTACAACTAATTGTAGAATTGCAAGCAGGTTTTATCACCAGTGACATCATTTTGATTGTGAGAACAAACAGGGCAGTACAACACAGCATGGAAATCACCAACATCTAAAGAAGGTAAGAGCTTGTAATCACAATCATCATCAGTATTGATTGCTATGGATTAATATATCAACATGTCTTCTGCATACAGTTGTTAATAGATAGTATATCTGTCAGTTCTGCATATTCTGCAACATTTCCTGTGAGTGTGATTCAACAATCTCTATGTCACTTGCATACACATACATTACTGACATGATTTTCTCTGCCAAAATTCAGACACCATCTTATTCAATGTGTAGTCATATTTGGTACTATGCAACTTCATCTTGTTCTCAACACTGAAGGCAAAATCTATTTCCTGTTTACAACAACAGTGGCCAAAGGATGGCCTACTATACTTCAATGACTAGCAGAATCACATTGAATTCCATGGGAAATACTTATTAAAAAAAAACAGAATTACTACATTACTATGGCCCAGGGTTATTATTATGTGAGGAAAAAACTTCAGTCTCAAATTTGTTTTAATTTATCTTTATATAAAATAAGACAGGTAATGAAAATTATCGTTATTATTATTATTATGAAAATATATATATAATTATGATTTTTTTTTATAGGCAAAAATATTATGTACTAATTTATGTAAATGTGTTGGTTGTAAAAATTTTGAAGATAGTTCAGAAAGAAAAACTTTAATGCATTTAGCTGATGCTGCTGAGGTTAGAGTGCAACAGCAAGCAGCAGCTAAAACAAAAATTTCTTCACAAATTCAAGATCTTCCCACAAGACCACCAATAATTTCTACTACTGGTGAAAGGTAAACATTTTTCTTTTATTAACATTCATAAAATTATAAATAAACTATTATTGAACTTTATAATCCAAATTGTAACATTAATAAAAGAATTATTTTAAAAGCAGATTGTTCTATTCCTATTTTATGGAATTAGAAAAATAAGCTTGTGCATGTTTCTAAATTTTTATTTACTGTTCAAAGTGTTTAATTATTTGTTCAATAAATAACTTTGGGTCAGTTAAAATCATGAAAATTTTTTCATTTCAAAGGATCATATGAGGTCTATGTTTTAAGTTTACATTCCATTCATAACATTCTTTTACCAGTATAATAATTTGGCATCAACTTTATTCATAGAGTGAAACCATAATTTTATACTAATGACATATCATTCAAGGATTAGATTTCCTATTATACCACACTTTAGATATGTTGCACAACATACACTGTATATGATACAAGAAATAAAATTTTGAGATTTTCTCTAACATCCAATTGCCAATACGAAAAATTCTGTAGCAAAATTTTTGATAATGTTTGATTCCATGTATATTTGTGAACAGTTTTTCCTATTATAAACATGAAAGATTTGTGTTCTTAAAAAATGTTTATGAACATTTGGAAGCAATATTAAGGATAAACACTATAAAATTTAATCCAGATTTTGAAAAGATGATTAAAGAAAGTAATTAATTTGTAAAGAACTTTCTTGAAGTTTTTTACAAATTTCTTAAATAATATATACACATGCACATTTTCTTCATAATTAATAAAGGAAAAGAAAATATGTTATATAATTTATAAGTAAATCCTCCCAGCTACATTTCATTTATGGGAAAGGAGGCCGTGTCATATTAAAGTCTACCCATCACTGGTTTAAAGTAATATAACTATTTAATACTTAATGAAATATACTTAATAAAATCCTTAATTATTTTCTTCTTGACAGAAGCCATTTCTTAGTATTTCTGTTTTCATTTTATTAATTTACAGGATAATGAAAAACAGCAAAACTAACAATTTTTTAGTTAACTAACAAGTGGCAAAACTGGATATTGTAATTTTGATATCTTTCATATACTATATTTCTTTCCTCTGCTACACGCTCATGTGATAACTTAAGTGATAAACAAACTAGTATTGAAGTTTACATAATTTGAAGCAAATAAAAGACTGCCTGCTAAATTCATTAAATATATTAGTTTGAAAACAATAAAACTGTTAAAATATTATTAAAATTTTATAATTAAATAAATAAGAATTACAATATCTTCTATTCTGAATACTGGTATTTTGAACAATCTTGTACTCACTCGTTTAACCTTTACTATCCGGTACTGCTTAAATTTCATAAAACAAACGTTTTCAGTCTCACTGTAACCTGAAGCAGACCTAGAATGAGGCTGAAAACGTTTGTTTTAAGAAGTTTAAGCAGTACTGGATAGTAAAGGTTAAACTAGTGAGTACAAGATTAAATAAGAATTGCTGACTTCTAAATTTAAGAACTTTTTATTACTTTTCAAATTAATAATGACAATATAAACAACAAAATAATTTAAAATGGTTGAAATTTTCTTTTAGATTTCATTAATTCAATCTTTCTTTTGTCTTCTTCAAATTTTTTTCATGATTCTTCAATATGTTTCATCTTAGATTCATGAATTTGAAATGTATAAAAATTAAGCAAGTTTTTCTTGGAATGCTTTTTCTTTCCATTCTTTGCAGTTATTTTTTTCTCATAAACTTCAGCCCTTCTTATCATTGGTTTTTTACTATGTTTTGACACAGTTATTCAACCTTCTTCATCAGCAACACCTTCCATTTTGATTGCTTCTTCCTTTTCTTTTTCAACTTTTTCATCATATTATTGCATATAGACATCAATATCTTTCTGTAATTCTTTAATATTTGGAATATTATTATTATATTCTGTACACTATTTCTCGATGCCAACTTTCAAATGTCGATCTGATACCATTAGACAACAGGGAGAACTTTCTTCTAAGATATGACACTTTTTTAAAGCAGAACTCTTTTTAAACATGATATAAGCAACACAAAATCCTTCAATCGATTTTTCATTCGGAAAATATTTGAATCTGGCTTTTTTTCATTGCCAAGAGTTAGTTTTTGATGATTGATAATTTTCTCTATGGAGCCACATTTCGAAAAAATGGATTTTAGACTTTGATGGCTACAATATGGCAGGACATTAACGACTAATAAAGTTTGATCTATTGGTTTTGATTCTAATTGCTCTCTCACACAATGCTGTTTGTAAAATAAATAATGAATAGCTATACTCATTTTATTCACTTTTATGGGAACCACACTAAATTTACATGTTTTACTCGTGGTGTCCGCCATCTTCACAAAAGTGGATACTATGACCAAGAGAATATCATCAACAATGCCATTCATGTCATGTGCACTAATCAAATTTCACTGCAGCATATTGTCCTACACTCATAAGTTGAAATGCAGTGACTATAGTTGCAGGAATTAGTCAATATTTTAACCAGTTTTAACAATTATTGATATGAAAAATAAAAGTTTACTTATTTAATCTGACTTTCAATAGTTCATTATATAGAAATTAAACTTGGTTAAATAAAGGGCAATTTAAAATGTAAAAGACATGTGAATTTTGCTATGGAATGTTGAAAATAATATAGATTTTGTGATACATAATGTTAAGAAATTTATATTTTTTTCTTTACCTTGGATTTTTATTAAAAAAACTTTATATACATACAATGATGACTTGAATTTTTTTAATCAAAGGACTGTATCATACCAACCGAATGCCGAAAATCTATCGGGCTAGTATAAGGCTAATTATGAAATGAATTACGTAACCAATTTAGCTTTAGAGGTAATTTACCTCTAAAGCCAAATTGGTTACATAATAGATTTTCGGCATTTGGTTGGTGTGTAGCTTTATTATATATTGGGTTTAGCGATGTTTGGACTGTATTATGTTAAGTCAAAATGTAACGTTTTGACAGTGGTAAGGAGAATTTTTTTCTGCCATGTTTATTAGCTAACCATTCACTTTCAGACATCTAGAGCTATTTTAACACATTAAGTGCCATAATAGAGGAGCATAAAATATCACACTGGATCACACTCTTTTTTATGGACAAAATAACAAAAAATTATAGCTGTGTAATATAATTTTTTCTTAATCAAATTTAAGAAAAATAGAATAATCACTGAAATAATACACTTACTATTTTTGTTCATTAACAGAAAATGAAGATTGTTTCTCACATATATATATATTTTTATGATATTGTACTTACTTTTATTGTGCAAGAAAAACATTAGAAAAAAATAAAACTTTATGTATTTTTCATATTTTAAATAGGAAAAAATTAAATTTCTATTAGCAGTCTATCAAAAAAAAATGTACTGGGCCAAGTACAATTTCTATTCCCACAGGCTATGCTCTAACGATTTCCATTAAGTTTATATGAAGAAACACAGCACAGATTTCAATGTATGGTGTGTGTTGCATTTCTGCAACATATGGCCTGGGTTAATTGCTTGGGTGTGTTGCATATTTGCTACACATGGCACTTAATGTTTAATGTCTTGAGCCCCTTCTCTGTGTATTCAATAACTACCCATAACTAAATTTAAGTGGTGTAATTGCAAATTATACATTTACAATACAACAATGCCTAAACAGGTCAGAATCAGATCAGGAAATGCATTTTTCAAGCTTTTCTATGGACAGATTCTCTTATTGTTTTATCAAGACCCTTTTGGTAATATCCACCTTACTAGACAATATTCAAGTAAATTTAAGTGAGTTTGTCCATTGTGTGGCACAAAGTTTTGTGCTCTCTTTAAAGTTGAAACCAACTTCTCTCCACTAACATTACCTGAAGGGCTTAAGGTAAATGTACAGCAAGAGAAAAAAGTTTGAGAGTATAGATTGTAATTCAAAGTCTTTGACAAGCTTGTACAATTTTGACTGTTTTGAGGGAAAAAAGGAAATTCTAATACAAACTCCACAAACTGCAAAAGTTCATCTTGAAACCTTCTTTCAAGTCATTTTTGTAAATCATATTACAAAAATTTGAGTGCAAAAAGGATGTGAAGTTAGCATATGGATAATTTTGAGGAATGTAAAAACAAATATTAATTCTAGTTTTCAGTAGTGTGCCGTAACATTTGATGATAGGGAAGCTGTCTTTTTGTAAGAAGCTGACTTCCAGGGGCAATCAGTTAATTGCATCAGTGATGGTCTAGGGCAGGGGTCGGCAACCTTTTGAGTCGGAAGAGCCAAAATTACAATTTACAAAATTTCAAAGTTTTTAAAGAGCCACAAAATTTTTTCTTGCCAACAATAAATAGTACTCGCATAAATAAAGTTTTTTTTTAAAAAAAAAACTAATCTATTTATTCATAAGAAAAAATATCTATTTATTCATATATAAGTAGTGTTTTTCACAACAAATTAGATAATAGAAACATCCGACGACGGCGTCATTCGAGAGCTTCCGACGGACTGACGACAGTGACGACGCGTGTCACGGGGGAGGGGTGCGGTGAAAAGCGAGTACAAGTGGCTGAGAGATAGAATCAGTGCCTAATCCTCGTTAATCGATTCAGAACGATTTTTAAATGTTTTTTTTTTTTTTTTTTTGATAAAATAAATAATATTTGCGTATGGAACTAAAGAGCCCCAGCTTCACATCCAAAGAGCCACATGTGGCTCGCGAGTCGCAGGTTGCCGACCCCTGGTCTAGGGTCCATTCATATTCATTTTGTTCAATAAGCCAGTAAAAACCATAGACTTCTCTAAATGTATTTTTAATAGATTATTTATCTGACATACTTAATAAATAAACAAGTTCAATATAATTACCTCTGTTATTAGATTCAATAGATTCCATATGCCCTCTAAATGCCGATTCTTGCTTTGATAAAAAACATGTAACATCTATTAATTTAGATATTAATATATCTATTAGCCGTAACTATCTCGTTATAATTTTCAATATTTATTT